AATATTAAATATATTAACATATCATGATATTCGGGTTCCTAACTATTACCCAATTATGCCCCTTCCTACCCACTCTCACCTTTTTTTTTTCTTTATGTCAACTCAAATCATTCACTCTTTAAATTAAATTTTATAGGAAAAAAAGTTTTAAAAAATCCAATGAATTTCAGTGTTTGGAATGATTAATTTTTTGGACACTTTTTTGGAACAAATAAATCCTTGGACATTCCAAAACCTGTTAAACAACTCCTTGGACTTTCTAAAACCTGTTATATACATCTTTATGACCTATAAAACTAATTAACGTGGTAAAATAATGGAAAAAGCATGGAAAAAAACTCAATGAACATTCATAGTTTGAACGATAAATTCTCTAAACATTTTTTAAACCAAAAAAGTACATACATTTTATAAAATAAAACAAATATACCAAAAAAGTACTTACATTTAAAAAAGATTATTGATAAAATTTATTTTAATTAAAAAATAAAATGTGATAACCGGATCCTGGTTATCACCGAAGGTAATTAATATGTGATTATTTGATTAAATGATTATGTGATAACATGATAAATTGTTATGTTTGATCATGTTGGTATGTGAAAGTGTGAATAATTTAGATGCATAAAAGAGATTATGTGCATATATGTGATATGCATATGAGAATATATATATATATATATAGAGGTTGGTTATTATACAACCCTTGACATTTGTGCAACCAATACAACCTTTGACATTTGTGCAACCAATACAACTCAATCTCAACCGTCCATTTCATTTGATGAATATGTGATTTCATAGAAGTTTTGATTGTTTCCTAATATAAAGTATTAATCATAATTAATGAACTCCCATCATTTCTATAAATATCTCAATTAATTGGGTTGCAAGGGTTGTACAAATACACAAGGTTGTAAAAGAGATATACCATATATATATATATGTATGAATGGTAGTGTGAATGCATGCACAAGAGAAGGCTGTGTTAACCGCCTTTCCTGATTTGGAAAGTATAAAAGGAGGGCTTAGCCTCCATATTTCTTCTTCTTGCCTTTTGAAAAAGTTGTGCGATTTAAAGAGGAGAGGTTGACCGGATTATTATTGGCTGGAGATTCAAATTGATTTCAAGTGTTTGATTCCAAAAGATTGATAATGTGAGTAATTTCTAAACTCTTTTGTATAAAATTACTACTGGTTTATATGAATCTTGATTATTGTTGGAAAGAAACCAGTCTTTTACTTTAAGTGTTTTATCCGGGTATTAAAACGTATAAGACTTGTCCGGATTGTTTTAAATCGGACAAAGGTTAAATGATGTATTGTCCGGACTATTTTATAAATCGATGAAGGGTTGAGCGATTTAGCCCTAAATCGCCTAAGTATTGAATGGTTTAGCCTTAAACCGGTTAAGTGTCGATCGGGTTATGATTGGTAAGAAAAGTTATCTTTTGAACTGAGAAGTAGGAATACGACCAAGTGGTGGCCGGATTATTTTTTTTTTAATCGGTCAAGTATTGAGAGATGTATTGTCCGGACTTGATATCCGGACAAAGATGTGGAATTAATTCTAAGTGTTAAATCGGAAAAAGCTTATGCTGTGTGTTGTCCGGATAGTTGACCGGATTTGAAGTCCGGCTATAAATCAAGTTAACCGGAGTAGAAGTCCGGCTAAATTAAGTTGACCGGATTCAAAGTGATGCCTTGTGTTTTTAATAAGAAATGTTATTTTATCATAAAAAGAAAATTTTGAAAGAAATGATTTTGTATAATAATAATTTCAATGGCTGCGGTCTATTTGAAATTATTTTGTGAAATTTTTTGATGAGGAAATAAGAGTGACATATCAAGGAGAGGTGTACCATAAGATAAGGATGGCATAATAAGCGTGCAACCATTTTAAAAATAAATCACTTGTAACTCACGGTACAAATCGTAGTTCAAACCAATCTTTGAAATGGCTGGAGTGTCTCCTACAAATCCAAGACCATAATTTTAATTTTAATATTGACATATGACACCACTATCGAAAATAATCAAAGATGATCAAATGCTTCTCTTGACACCCTTTTACTTAAACGATCCACGAGTCAGTGTCTTCGTTTGCTTTAATTTATCTTTGTATATATTATATGCACCAGCATTTATATATATGAATCAACATCCATCTTCATGCATGCCTTTGCATGACTACGATTTTTAAATGGGTTACATAGGTGTATATACATACATACATACATATAACTCCCTCCCGTCCATCCAATTTGATGTGCGGTAACTACAACTTCTGCATGCTTGTATATATTTTTTCGCTAAAATACCTGTGAATTAACGAAGTTTAATTACCCATAAATATATATATATATATATATATATATATATTGACTGACATCCACACGAACCATAAGTTCTATCTTTCAGTACGGAGACAGATAAAACTCAATCAATATAAACTCTATATCCAATCTTAAATTTCAATACACACAAAAAATGCACCTACAGGTTGTTTCTGGGAAAAGATATAGTAGGTCTTTTTATATGAATCCATATCGGAACCCTCAACTCTCAACAAACTACTCTCTAGCCCTTGCACTTTTAATATCTTAATAAAAATAAAGGTATTGCAACATCTTCCCCTTAAATGGAATTCTGTCATTCGAAAAAACTTGGGTATTTCACTCTCATTTCATATTCCAGTTCCCAAGTGGCCTCATGCCCCTTGCGGTATCGCCACTGAACTTTCACTAAATTGATTTCTTTGTTTTCCCAATTCTTAACTCTGTAATCAGAAATAGCTTCCGGGGTCTCAACAAAAATTTGTAAATATGKTTGTGACTGAATTACATGATGAATATGAGATAATTTTTTTTGTAAATATGCTAGTGAAGTCTCCAAAAAATAATTTAGTTTTGGAATGTTGGCTTGCAACTCTATTTGTTGTGTGATTTCCAAAGTTTAGAACTTGATCAACCCAAACAGATACAAACATTTCATTTTAATTTATGGTGCCAACTATACACTATCCAGGTAATTCAAAACACTTGAAAAATACAACAAACATATGGAGTTACCAACGATACATTTATTCTTTTAAGGATTGTAGCGACCTCTGATTATAATCTAGATCTAGAATTGATTTAGATTTAGATGGTTGTTAGCTACTAATTATTTAAGTTGTAATCTCTCATACATTTATTGAGTGATTATATTTGATTTAGTTTTTAATCCACTTTATTTATACAGTTTAATCTCCTATTCCAGGGGTATCACAACTATCATGTTCATCCGATTTAGGGGATAACATGTGTTCATAAATGAACTATACTTTTCGTTCATTGACTCTATCTATTGTTTATCAGATAAGTAACAACCATTATTCACATTGAAATAAACATATGTTCTTATGTTAAAACAAAGGGATAAATCTTATGGTAGCAACATAAGTGAAATCCAACAATGTTATGTTAAAACCACAAACGAATGCGTCCCGTTATTGCAATTTTACAAATTTACCATTAAATCAATTGCATCCGTCGATTAGAAATTTTAATAGACGAAATTTGTTAACAAAGTTAGTACTATTTCATTTGGTTAACAAATGACGCGTACTTAAGTGTGATGATTTAATGAATAAGAAATAACTATAAACTCTACCGAATATAACGACGGATCCTTATATTCGTTAAGTTAAATCATCACACATTCTATAAGTACGTTTATTTTGTAACATAACTTTATTACTATTTATATTCCTGATCGTATATTTTCTAGCGAATCCTTAAAACCGTAAGACCCTATTTCAGACTATTTATACAAATTGCATAGATTAAATAGTAATGGATGATTCATTTTCATAGCTTCTTAATATCACTTTCCTTAACAAAGAGACCATGAAAGCCA